AGGGTTTGTTGTGCATGCTCTGATACTACTTTAATGACTGTGATTTCCAGCAGCTCTAGTGAGATTTGAGGCCCTTAAGTTAACAATCAAAGGTTTAAAGGCATAAAGCAGCTGTTGTTTCTTTCCATCAGAGCTTGGGGTGCAGCTGGCTTAGCAGTAAATCCATTGCCAGTCTGCGAAAGGAAATCGCTTTAGTTTCATGTTAACTGCTCTGGAGGCAACATATTAGCTACATGTGCCAGTTTTGCAATCCACAAGATCAGTGAAAGGTCTCTCTCCCTAAAATAACAGGACACTTACTTAAATCCTGGTTGTTTTCTAGATTACCTCCACTCTGAATAAAGAGAGTCTTGCAGATGGTGACTTGGGAGAGGTAAACAAACACATGTTACATCTCTGTGTTCACTTTTATAATGCCACAATGATGTGCAAAGTAAGAACAGTTTTTCTTCCTGCTTGGTAGCTGTCACAAATAACCCACCATATGACAAGGAAAGACACACTTTCCCACTCAAATGCTGTGTCCCCCTGCTTCTCCCCCCCTCATTTTCCAACAATGTCTGGACTTTGAGTTGCAAGTTTTAGTTCATGGTCTGAGTAAGGTCCCTCCACCTTCCCTTTTTGCTGCCTGTGTCTTGCCCACTGACACTTTGTGCTGCCTGTGAGACAGGGAAGAGCCTTGCTGCCTGGCAGCTGGTTTCAAAAGCAACACCTTCCCCAGGCTTTAAAAAAAGCAGGCCTGAGAGTGTGCTCCTATAACACTTCCCTGCAAGAGTGATAAATACACTTCAGGCCTTTCCTGTTGTAATTGCAGTGGCCTCAGCCTGCAGTGGAGGGACTGCATTGCTTTTGTGCTGTAGGGGTTTTAGATGCCATCTGCAGTTGCCAAATGGGGAAGAGTAGTTTTGCTGCATGTTTTCAGGCAGCTGAGAACAGCACAAGGCACTGTGTAATGACAAACAGCAAGGAAATGGAGAGAGAGCCTTTACTCTGTGTGTTGTACTCAGGCATACATTGCCAATGCATTCCTGTGTTGTCTGGTTCTGGCTGTTGTTGGTGGGAAGGTGGCAATGTTCTGCAGTGCAAAGTGTTTCTTCCCTTTTTTGCTGCTTTTGTTTTTTATTTTTCATTATAACATCTTTTCTCTGCTGAAGGCTTCTGCAGAACCTAACGAATCTGTGCCGAACCAGGGAGATAAAGGCCAGGCTACAGAGGAGCAGTTCTTGGGAGAGGTATCTTTTGCCCTCTAGACTAACCCTGTTTACCTCCTGTGTACTTTCTTTGTTATTCTTAAAAGAAAACTTTTATTTTGTTGGCTTTTCCTAGTGCTGTGGACATATGGAAATACAAAGAGTTGTTTAGAATGAGTAAAATGTGAGCTTTTAAGTTGCTTGAGATTTTTCCCATCAGCCTAACATCATGTGAATAGATTTTGGTGGCAGTGAATAAGTTTGTTTTGTAACTGTCCAGTTGGCACCAGACCCTAGGACTTTATTCTGCCATAATTTTCACTCTGGCATTTTCCTAACACATACTAAATGATCTACTGGCACAATTCGAATGCATTCACCCTTCCTTGTTTCTGTTTTCCCTCTCTCCAACTGATTATGACCAAGCTGTTAGCTTGTTACCACCCTGTTTCTAGGTTATAGCCCTTTGCAATGATGCAGTTGTGGTACTGGAGGAGAGGGGAAATGTTTGTCCCCTGCATTGTTCCTGCTCACATCAGTGCTATCCATCTCCTTTGCACTAAGGACTCAGCCTCTGCCATGAGCTTAATAGCACTGAAAATATTAGTACAGCTGTGTGAACAGGCCAGCTTCATTCCACCCTGTTCCCTCAGTCTCCCTTTTGGGTTAGAATTTGAGCTGTTAGCCCAAAACTACCTGTGCTCCCAGTGCTTGGTGCCTGCCTGCAGTTGTCTGTGAAGATGAGGACGGTGGTTTATGGTTCATGCATGTGGGAGTGATAAGCTTGACTACATATAACAGCCTGTTAAGGACATGAAAATGACACTCTCCTTAGGTTAGGTGCTTGATTGTTTGTTAGCTCATTAGACACTGTAGTGGCAAACACATGTATGACAGAGTGAGGATTTTGCTGTATGCAATCATGAAGATACTATGTTTCATAACAAATCTCTCTTCTAGGAGAGAATTCATAGCCAAACATGATCTTAGCCTACGAGCATGGGTGGTAAATATTTGTGATACTGTTCTGAAACCACTGATGTTGCATCAGGGAGTGCTGTCACATACATCAAGTAACTGGATGGACATGTTAATCCTGTGATAGTCATTATATGCTCTCAACTGATACCAAGCAAACATCACGCGTTATCTGACAGCAAAATAATTTTGTAGGTGCTGCCTTCTTTCATGAGCCAAACAAAGCTTTTTTTGGACTTGCCTGCATATACCAAATGTCTGTTTTTGGTTGACTGCATGCTTGTTCTTCGTCCTCTGAAGTACAGTTTCACTGATTGATAGATAACCAGGGTGTTCTCAGCAGACTCCTGAACTCCCACTGCATCGTGTGTTAGTGCACTGGCTTATGACAGAGGAGGTGGTTTGTGGGACAATTCCTGCACTCTTCGTAGGCTGTACTGTGAAAATTGATGGTGCAGAGAGGCTTCCCTATTGGTTTGGGCTTTTTTGGGGAGTAGGCTTTCTTTTTAATTATTAAAAATTTTTATTTGAAATCAAAAAATTCAATTACTGGCAGAAAATGGTCTATCTTAATTCCTGGGGGAGTTTTGTAAAAATAAAAAAAAAAAATTATCTGTCTGCTCAGCACTCCTGTAGTAAATGCAGAGTGCTTAAGTCTGTGTGGGCCATGCTGGACTTCTGTGTTGAATACTAAGCATGTGTTCTGCTTAATTAAATGAGGGTATAAGCCTTGGGCAGAGTGTTTGAAGCATGAGCTGAAAGTCTTAAGTGGAGCAAAGTGAAAGCTAGGTTCCCTTGGCAGCCATTTTAAAAAATGGCCCACTCTGATCTCTCAGAACAGTGAGTTTTATAATGGTCTGTACATGCACTGGAGGTCCTTTGGTAAGCCCAGGCCTTTCTCAGGGTGCTTAAGAGGTGACTTTGTGCAAGCACCTGAGCAAGTTAATTATCCTGAGCTGAAACAGTTTTCTAGCAAATGATGGGAGTATTCTTCCCTTCTAAGTTAGTGATCTCTTAGGTGACTGATAGTCTGAAGGTGTATCTTTATCTTGTAATGCAAGAACCATATTTTCTTTAAGTGCGTGTGTATGTTCCAAATGTTGACATAATCTCAAAAACTGTGCTTTTCCTTTCTCTTAGAGGGTGAAGGACCATAAACAAGAAACTGAAGATTTGGGATCTACAAAGATGACATTTAACATCTCTGTTGGTGAAGGTAAAAACAAATAAATCTTTATATTGATTTAATTGTATGTGCTGATATTTATAAATACTGATGTTGATACTGGTGTTTCAGTAAGAGGGCAATTTCTGCACAGATTGTGAAGGATTATCATGACTTGACTCTTCCATTCATTTCATAGCAGTCTCAAGGCACTTGAAAATACAGCTTCCTTAAGGAAGGACATTAGTATACAGCACGTGTGTACCCAATCACTGAAATGCAGCTACTCTGATTTCTGCTATAAAAGAACACATTCGATCAGGCATGCAGTGCTGGCATTGCTGTTTGTACAGAAACTCCCAGGGGATCTTGAATAACACAGGAGATACTGACCCCTGTTTAGGTTTGGCTTTGTTTCTGGCACTGTATGCACAATGGTTGCTTCAGAGGTCATTTAGACCTCTAGCATTTGCTAGCATCTTGCTCTGCAGCAAGGTGAGTGATGCTTGACAGTGCCCCACCTGATGTGGCTGTGACCATGGCTTGAGACCGGAGATGAACTTGAAGATCCTCGTCCCTAGCTGCCTGGCGCAGGCTGGCTCGCCGGGGACTTTGCGTGGTGTTGGGCAGAACCAGCTGCTGCTGCTGCATGTTTAAGTGACTCTTGTGCCACCTTTGAACGTGCCCCTCTCTCTCCTTGCAGATGTGGACGGTCTGATCACCCAGGCTTTGCTGATGGGCAGCTTTGAGAGCGCAGTCGACCTCTGCTTGCACGATAACCGCATGGCTGACGCCGTTATTTTGGCCATCGCAGGCGGACAAGAGCTGCTTGCCAGGACACAGGAAAAGTATTTTGCTAAGATGCAGAGCAAAATTACCAAGGTATGGGTCTTTTCAGTTAACAAACAGCATGTGTGTAGCCCTTTTGGCAGCTCTCATTTTTCACCTTAAAAGTTTTCTTGCTGTTTCATACATTTATTTCTGAGAAGCTACTAAGTATTCAAGTCATCCACAAGATCTCAGAGCAGGATTTCTGTTATTTTTCTCTACTGCCCTGATAAGGAGGGAAGAGGAGCACTACTTGAATATCAGTATGCAAGACGAGTGTTCTTTACCTTGTCTCCAACGTCTCCGAGTTGCACATACACTAGTAGATTTTCAATGATAAAGATAAATATTTTAAGGAACATAAATTTAAGTCTGTTACTTTATCACACTTCTCAAGAGCTGCATGTGACTCATGCTCAGTGCTAGCAGCATTAAGCTGATTTCTGCCTGTGATCAGTCTTAACAGATTTTGCCAGTGCTCCATTTCTCTGCATTCACAGAAGAGAGCTAAGTATGCCCAGGATAGATTAATCACCCTTTTATCTAGGCAGCAGCGTGTTATAGCCAGCTGGTGGTTATTCTTTCCAGCTTTTTGCAATGCTAGGCATTGCTGATGCTGCTCATTCAAATCTTTATTCTTTACTACTGTGTTCTGCCAATGACCAGGCCCAACAAAAATGATAGCACCAACAGAAAGAAAATCCAATACACAGACGGTATTGTATACGAGAAGGACATTCCATGAATGATCGCTGGGGGTGCAAACAGATCAATCAGCTGGTACATAATCAATGCCACCCCCAACAATCTCACAAAGGACGTAACTCGGCCCACAACAGGTGGTACAAACAGAGACCTGAGGTTGCCCACAGTTGGCATGGGAAACAGCCAGACCAGCAAGCTGAACACATAAGAGAAAGGTGATGATATAGTGACTCTCACCCGATCCGCCTGCGTTCACAAAGGTCTAAACAGACCAGGGCCCAGCTCCAGGGAGAGTCAGGAGGTCTGCCCTGAACCAGGAAGCTCTGTGGAGTGCACTCCACGGACAGACACTCCTGACTCCCTGCAAGTGGTCCCAGCTTGTATCCCCAAGCAGACACCTGACCTTTGTCAACTCAATGCAGGACCCCTGGGGCTCATTTCCCTTCTGGCTCTCCCTGCAGGGCCGGCCGCACCCTGGGGGGAAGCTATAAGGCAAACTCACCCCTCTGTATGAAGGGCTGTGGGAATCACCCATATGTCAACCTTAATTCAGGGCTCAGGGTTCAGACCCCAGCATTTCATACTGGCATGAGAAAGTAGTGACAGGGAATGAAACAGGAGAAGTGGCTTTAAAAGATTACAGGACAATTGGTTTGGTGAGGATGGCTGCTTTTAGATGAGGGGAGAAAATTGCCTGTGGTCACGTTTTAGCATTCAGTTGTCAAAGAAAGGCATCTTATACAGCAGCAGGAGGCAACCTATTAAATGGGCATGTACTGAAGTGCTTTCCTGGAGCAGGGCTGAAGGCCATAAAGCACTACCGCTTGTGGAGTTAGGGCAACACAGCTGGAGTCTGTAAGTGGGATTTTGCTGGTCATCACCTGTGATCCTGTTTGAAATAGGAACAGTTTGCCTTTTTGCCTGGTTTACACATATCTGGCAGATGTTCTGTTTGCTCACATCCACCCTGGGTGGGATGAGGAGGAGAACTGAGAGAAAAGGTAAAAAAAGCCCCATGGATTGAGATAAGGAGAGTTTACTAGAACACCACAAACAAGAAACAACAGTAATAATAATACTGATTAAATAATACATAAACCGAGTGATGTACAATGCAACTGCTTTGTACCACCACCTGGAACCTGAACTCCCCTTAGATACTGGGCATTATGTCACTGTGCTGTCAGATACCCCACTGGCTGGCTTTGTGTGCCTGTCCTGGCTGTGGCCCCTCCCAGCTTCTTCTGAAAATTAATCACACACCAGCTGAACCCAGGACACATTTCTAGCAGTGGACAAGTGAAAAGAGAAAAATCTCAAGCACTAAGACTCTCATTTGCTCATCCCTCACCCCCAGCTCTTTTCCTACTACCTCTGGCCTAATCAAATGAAGGAGAATTTTGTAGAGTGGGGGAAACTTACTATAATTCATCCTTTGGGATAAGTATTTTTATGGAGAGCTGGGCAATTATCTCTGCTTGTGATAACAAATGAGTGTTAACCTTGTAATTAGGACCTTGCATTTATTGTTCAGGTGTGGGGTTTGTTTTTTTCTTTTCTGGTCCCAAACTGCACACTTACTGCTTGTTCAGCTGTTTCTGAGCTTGAACTCCTGGCAGGACAAGGATTTTGTTCACTAACTAGCAGCACAGCTGCCAAGTCTGTCTTTTTATCTGAAGCAGAATAACTGGAAGCAAAGCCTGAGATTGAGGAAACTGGAATTTTCTGCTGAGGGCTTGTGGACAGGCAGGGTCCACATGTGTGCATGGGTGCAGGGTGTGGGTACTGCAGCCAGCTCGGGTTGATACTGCTGCCAGTTGGCTTCTTCCTTCAAGCAGTCTTTTCAGCTGCCCCTCACTGCTCAGGCTGAGGCCAAGAGCTTAAAGACAAATGAAACAATTTGGCAAACAAAATTCATACCCCTTGCTGGGTGTTGTGTAGATGATGTGTAGCTAAATGTTATCTTTGTTTGCAAAAGGAGTGCTGAAAACCAATGCAGCATTCCCAGGTTGCAGAGATTTATGCATTCTTTTCTTGCACATTTTATAGAAAGAATAATTGGCCTGTGTTATCTGAGCTTGTTTTATGATTTTCACTGAACTCCTTTTGAAGTAAAATGCACTCTCGTGCAGCTGTTGAATTGCAGTGGAGTGTCTGCTGTGACCCTGGATACAGTGGGGATGAGTGCGCTTGAATAGATACCAATTATACTTTATCCTAAAAAACAAAGGAAGTCCTCCCACTTCTTAACTGTGTTCTCTCTCCTTCTGGTCTAGCTCATCACTGCAGTGGTAACGAAGAACTGGAAAGAGATTGTGCAGTCTTGTGATCTGCAGAACTGGAGAGAGGCTTTGGCTGCTGTGCTCACTTACGCTCGGCCAGACGAGTTTGCAGCCCTTTGCGGTAAGGGCACTTGGCAGACTAGATGTCATTTATTCCACTCACAGCAAAACTGCCCTCTGCCACGGTTGTTTGCCTTCCAGTAAACTATTGCAATGCCCTGCTAGCCTCTTTGATGGATAATATAGTTCTTTGATCCTGTTGCAGAGGAGGAGAGGAACGTCTGAGATGTCACGTTCCCACTATGTTCCCTGAGTTTCTGGGCACAGAACCCAGACCCTTGTGAGCAGTTGTCCTGGAATCACCTGTGTAGTGCACAGCTGCTAATCTCTTACTGTTTCCAGATGGGTAGTGGTGATGTTGTTGTGACAGGTCTCTCAGCCAAGGGACCAGTGTCTTGGAGTGTTTGAGCATGAAGCATGAGTGGAAATGTTTCAGGGAAGTGTTTCACTCTTTCCCAAGAGGATTTTTGACTTCTTGGAAGGAGTCCTTTCACAGCAAGTGAGCATGCATGCCCTCATGTGCTTCATGGCAGACAGCTGGCTGGGTTTAACTCCGAGGGAAGTTACGTTGCCTGACACCTCTGTGCTTCTCCGAGGCTGCCTGTGGTGCCTAGGGAGCTGTATGGCTCACTGACAGCCCAGAGCAGTTCCTTGGCCAGCTGCACACCCAAGTTGCACTCCTGAAATGAGGGACTGCAAAAAGTGGGGGGTGGAGGGGAGAGCCGAGGCTTGGCCTCTTGTCCTTTGTTATGTGGGCAGAGGGACTGTCCCCTCTGTGTCGCAGGTTTGCAGGCATTTGACAAGTCCTTGCTGTGATAAGACATTAACTGCTTCTGAAGTGCCTTGAGCACCCATGAGATAATCTCTGCTGCACACTGGACTGTGTCCTTTTGTCCCAGAGGCAACAGCCTTTCTCACTCTGCTGAGCAGAGACACAGCAGGCTTTGCAGGCTTCCCCAACCTCAGCAGTGATGGAAGGATCACAGAAGTGATTTAACAGCATCTTCCTTGTTCATGTTTTCTAGATCTCCTGGGTAACAGACTGGAGAGCGAGGGAGACAGCCTGCTGCAGACACAGGCTTGTCTTTGTTACATTTGTGCTGGCAATGTGGAAAAACTCCTTGCTTGTTGGACCAAAGCTCAGGATGGAAACAACCCCTTGTCCCTTCAGGTTGGTGACTCTGTTAAGAAAGCTGTTGAAAGTACTGTTGAAAGTAACAAACTGTAATCATTTGGCACTTAAGTCAAAGGAAATGATGTACAGCTTTGGTGCTGTCTGTGAGCTTCCTCTATCTTGGGATGCGAGTCATTTCCTTCTGGAATGGGTGGCTTTTGGAGAAATAATATATAAATATGCTGTTGGAAAACGTGTTATAAAGCATGATGGCCCTCGTGTCTGCTCTGTTCTTTGGGTAGTTGTGACAACATGCTGCTTATGTAATAAAGTAGTTACAGGGCTTAGAGTGTTTTGGTAAAGAAGGGGCTTTGAAGGCTTGTATATTTGCAATAGGAAAATAATTGGATGTGTTTGCTTTTGAAAGAGGTGGCTTGGATGTCCTGGAAACCTGCACTTGACTTAGGCTGCCCATTGGGTCAGAGGGGATCTGCAGGGCTGCCCTGAGGAGCAGTCCTCCATGCCGGTCACTGGCCAGGGCCCACTTCACCCCATTGTTCTCATTTGTCTTTTGTTGTTTTGTTTTGTTTTTTTTTTTTTTCCCCTGATCTTCCAGGATTTAATAGAGAAAGTTGTAATCCTGCGTAAAGCCGTGCAGCTCACCCAGGCTGTGGACCCCAGTGCTATGGGGGCCCTTATGGCCGAGAAGATGAGCCAGTACGCCAACCTCCTGGCTGCCCAGGGAAGCATTGCTGCAGCTTTGACCTTCCTCCCTGCAAACACCAACCAGGTACAGGGCCTTCAGGACTTTTACTCCCCCTCTCTCTGTGAACAGGTGTACTTGAAGCAGGGGTCTCTGCATGGTGCACTGCCATTTGAAATGCTCCTCAGCATGTGACAGTCAGGCTGTTTTCCCCCTCCCTGGGTTGACCTTGCTGAGCTGGCTGAAGTACATGGCCTTGTTTTCCCTCTGTTTCATACCCTTGTCCTTGCAGACAGTGGCTGTCAAAGAGGCAGCTGTCTTCTGCAAGTCAGACACAGTGAAATGTGTACCTTGACACTGGGTTCTTTCCTTTTGATTTTTCATCCCCTGTTAGATGATTCATAGGTCTTCATAGACAGGTTGGTTTGGAAATGATGCAGCCCAAGATGGGAGGCAGCCACATGTAAGGTAGTTCCAATGCCCCCATACTCAAGCAGAAAAAGACTCCAATCAAATAAAGAAGAGCAGTCTTAGGAGAGAGGGTTTGTCGGTGTGTGGCCAGTGTGCCTCTTGGTGTGATGCACTGGGTGACAGGCAGTGCTTGAATCTTCCTGTGCTGTCCTTTTCTGATTGCAGCCGGACATTGTGCTGTTACGGGATAGGCTTTGCAGAGCCCAAGAAGAGCTGCCAGCAGGACAGGAGGCCCTCAAGACACCATACAAGAGACAGCCCATGCCCAAAGGACAAGCTGGCCCTATGGCTGGACAGATGCAAGGGCCTCAGGCTCCAGCCCAGCAGTATTACCAACAGGTAATGTTTTTTGGCAGTTAAAGAGGGACGTGGTGTTTGAGTTCTGGAAAGTGATGGATAAAGGAATTTTTTTCCTTTTCTCTTGATCTGAGCTGGGGCTGTATGATGTACCTCTGACAACCTTGTGGTGAAAATCATGGGTGCTGCTTTTCAATCGGTACAGATGCCTCCTTTTACTCCTTGTCTGGAAACATCCATTAAACACTGTCAAGTAGCCTACTTCTGGAGGTTAGGTGTTTTCCCCCTTTGTTTGAAAACGTGTTTCAGTGCCAAGAGTGACTATGTGGGAGAGCACTGCAGGATTTTTCTGTGCTTGCTTTCATAGTCCTTGATGATATCCCATCCCTGCAGTCCTTGGGGCTTTCTCATACTTCTCACCAGCCTCTTCTGGGCCTGATTTTCTGTCCCTAACACTGGTGTTGGATGCAGATGTTGCTGAGCAGCAGCAGCAACAAACTGGCGGCATGTTTTGGCAGTTGTGGATACAGCCTACTATGAAAGCACTTTCCCAGCCATGCATAAGGAGCATAGGCAGCACTGGCAGGAGGTGTGAGGCATGCCTGGACAGAGTCAACTGTGCCAGAAGAAAGGCTTGGTGAGTATGGGCCCAATAAGGGGGCTGGAGGCTATGCAGGGAGGAAAAGGAGAAATTGGGAAGGAAGATGCCCTGGTTTTGTCTCCAGCCTGAGGAGGGCACTGCATCAGACCACATTGGCTATCACTGGAGTGTGGTGCAGTGGGCAGTCCTGGCTGTGTGCATGCTCAAGGAGCATCCCCAAATTCCTCAGCACAGTGCTGGAGCTCATCTGGCCTTATTCTACACAGAGGTTTTTGAGAGCAGAGCTGTTAGTGCTGCAGGTGTTGTCCTTACACAGAGGAGACTGGCACAGGCAGAGGCATGTGTCTCCTCAGCATTGCCCTTCAGGCACTGCTTGCCAGAAAATGGGGGCAGGAAGGAAGAGGGGCTGGAAAGTAGAGGGTGTTTGGCTTCATTCTCCCTCTTGTGTGCCTTCACTTTCCCTCCAGAGTGTTAACAAGGTGGGTTTTGGAAGGAACAAAGCCTTCATCCTTTTCATACAAGGTTACCTTGCTGATGCCATTGCATATGATTTTAAATGCATCGCTGTCAATGATTAACACTACTACTCCTTCCTGTGTCTTTGACTTTCCTTCTTGTCACTGAGTTGCCTCCAGAAGCAATGCAAATTCAATTCAAAAGCACTTGCTTTCATATGGGAAAGTGTATTTCCTATTTGACTGTGGGAAATAGCAGCTGTCCTTTAGGTGTCATGATCTTAGATACTTTTTAAACCAGAGTTCCCTTTTCCTCCTACTGTTTCAGGAGTGCCTTAACCTACTATTTAAGCAAATCCTGCTTATTAATAAAAGGTTGGGTGTATCCAACAAGCACATTGCAAGTGAGTTACCCCCTGTGTTCTTGGCTTTCTAGGGAGCTCATGCTCAGCAGGCAGGACTG